ATTTGTTGAAGATTTGATGTAAGAGAAAGAGATGAGAGGCAGAGGATGTCCCACCGGGCGTGTCAAAAATTTGTACACGCAAATTTCGTAATCTGCAAATAAAGAACAAAATAGGGAAAAAATAACAATTTATTAATTTATGAAATTTCGAGTACAATCCTTTGAGATATTCTTTACAAAAGAAAGAAAATATCATCTGATTCGATCTCCTTTGTTAGTTGGATTCAAGGGCTGTTGGAGCTTGATCTTGAATCAGGTTGTTGACAATCTTATTCAACTATTTGTAGTTGAAGAAGATCGCCAATGATTTCTGATCGAAGGCTGACGAAGCTTGATTTCGAATAGTGTTATGTGGTGATTCGTCAAACTTGTTGAATCACGAAGAAAGAATGGCATGATTTTAATATGCTTGTTGTTCTTTGTTGAATTTGAGGAAGAACGGCACAGCTTTGGATGTGCTTGTTGTTCTTCGTCTTCAGAGAGAATTTGTTGAATTTAGTGAAGAACGGCACGACTTTAATGTGCTTGTTGTTAATCACCGAGGAATTTTGATGAAGAACAGCATGATTTGATGTGATTGTTACTCTTCGCCTTCAGGTTTGGGTGTTGGGAATGAATGTTGGCTGAGCTCTGTATTTCTCTCTGGGATTTTTGGCCTTCTGGATTTCTGAGTTTCTCAATTTCTGGACCTTCTGGATTTCTAAGTCTCTAAATTTCTGGACCTTCTGGATTTCTGAGTCTCTAAATTTCTGGACCTCCCTTCCACCTTCCTTCATGCCTCTATTTATAGGCTTTTTGGATTAATAGGATGATGACACGTGTCCTCTCCTGATAAAGACAAAATCATAACTAGGCCGAACTGGTTATATTATGATAATTATCCTTAAAAATAATTATTCCAAATATCTTTTCATTTAATCATCTGAGCTGGGTTAATAAAATAATTTAAGTGAACCAAGTTTGGGCAATTAAATAATTTAATTAAACATGAGACCTATATTTGATAGGTTAATTTGTCAAAACCAAAGTCCATTAAAATTTTAGTGTCTACAATTACAAAGCCAAGCCAAACCAAAACAAAAAAAAAAAAAAAACCACATTTACAGGGCCGAAACTGTAAAGATTTGGTCGTCGTTCGAGGCCCATCGCCCACCGCTGCGCTAGCCGAGCTTCTCTTGCTCGTCGGCCGTCGTCCGAAGCCCCCTTACTCACCAGCCACAACCGAGCTCTCCATCATTTAAGTCACCTCAGCCGAGGTCGTCGCCCACCGCTGCGCTAATCACGTCGCCGCGAACCGCCATCAGTTCCGTCCTCGCTACCTTACCCGCTGCAATTCCTCATCACAGCCGACCATCGCCGCTGCCGCTCTTTTAGTAGGCGATAAAGGCTTTGGCAATGGACTGACGAATGGCGTAGATCTAGGAGGTTTGACCATCGCCTTTGTCTCTGATACTCATGTCGACGCCGGCAAAGCGGTGACGGCCCATGAGGAAGATGGACTTGTACGCCTTGTAGTGAAGGATCTCTGGCTCCACCAACTTGATGGGGCATTAGCTCTCTCTCTCTCTCTCTCTCTCTCTCTCTCTTTCTCTGTGCAGAAAAATAAGGGCCCAAAATAAAAAGAGGTCGCTATGGTTAATTTAGGGTAATGTTATCTTTTGGCTTTTCTGGCACGCTATATTGTTAGTTCAAGAGGGTTAAATGCAGCAATTTGTTAGTTCAATGGGGTTTTATGTAGTTCGAGGAGGTTAGTTGCAAAACCCCAATAGTTCGGGGGTTTTTTTTTTGCACTTTTTCCTAAAAAGAATAATAAAGACAGAAAATTGTGTGGTTTAGGTGTTTTAGTTAATGAAAGATAATCTTTAGTATTGTATAGAGATATTTAAGTAATTATACAATTTTTTTTAACAAAGTAATTATACAATATAGGTGGGTTAAGATGGTTAAGGTTGGGCACGGTATGAAATGATAAACATGTGTTAATTGAAAGACAAAGCACATGTTACTACGTAGGATAGTAGAGTTACTGGGTCAACTCAGGTACAACTTAGTTTATACTCTTAAGTTATATAATTCTTTTAAACAAAAATTATGCTCTATCGCTCGTTCTTGTTCTCATTCTCACTCTACTTGACTTAAAAAATATTGCTTTCGAACTCCTGTTATCGAATTCGCTCACACTCTAAGACTTTGTAGTATAATATATATATAGAAAGAATTGTAGTTAAGTGAAATTCTTTTTAAGGTATATTACGCTGCAACTTTTATTACTTTAACCTCTGTAAAATTCGTTTTATCTAAAATGATTTTCGATTTGAGTGTAAAAAGTCAATAATATTCTTATATTATAATAATATACTACAGAGTATATTATATATTATAGAAGGAAAAGGAAAATTTGTCATTTTATAAAAATATGGTCGAGAGATATGTCGAAAAAAAAAATGTTAGGAGTGATATTGGAGAGCGCATGTGGGCTGCTCAACCCAAATGATAAATTACGCTCCTAGTCCTGTGAAAAATCAAATTGGGTAAGAATGGGCCGCATAAATTAACTCCTAGTAGGCCTCTAACCTCTAGACTGGAGGGTCCATTATATATCCATATTGGGCTTTTGTTTCTCATGGGCCAAGTGACAGATATATTGTGACCTTGGACACAAAATTGGGTTATGGGATGAGAGATTATAAAGTACCCATATTGGGCTTTTGGATGTTTACGGGCTAGGCAAATTATATATGAACTTCTGAGAGCCCTGTGGGCCCACAAAACTTGGTTAAGTCGAAAATTATAGGTTTAGATCAGGCCAATATGCTCTTGTTGTTTCTTTTAAATACCATTACATATTCTAAAAGGTTAAAACTTTCAAGAAGAATGTAGCTGTCAGTGGATGACGAGGCTCCAGTTGATGCAGGTCCGGAGAGGGTGATATTGTTTTCGATTTCAAACCCGTGACCTCCAGACGATTTCGTTTAGTCAGCACAATTGGTCTGTTGTAAGGATTTCGATTTCAAACCCGTGACCTCCAGACGATTTCGTTTAGCCAGCACAATTGGTCTGTTGTAAGGATTTGAGAATGATTATATATATATGATCTAGTAATAAGTCTTGTGATCATGATTTTAGGAAAATTAGTACCCAGGAGCACATGACAAGGCTCAAGAGATCTTTACCTGATGGAAAAATTAGTACTCAAGAGCACATGACAAGGCATTCCTAGGGAATGGAAGGTGTCTCTCGTTGACTCTTCCTCACTTTTTGTTTGGTTGGCTAACTTGGACGAAATGGATAATAGAAACAATAGATAATTTCACTCATTTTTTTGTTTGATTAGAAGGAAGGAAAAGAGAGTTTTTATATTATTTTTACCAATATACCTTCATTAATGCAATAGGGCTTAACAAGCAAACTTTTGAAAAAGTTAAAAATGTAAATTAAGTTGTTGATTGTAGGAAGAATCTTTCTTTTTCTCCCTTATTTCCCTCAATTTTGGCCGAATATGAAAATACAAATGGAGGGATGCTTTATAGCACCTTGTTTCTTTTCTATCTTCCAATCCTTCCAACCAAACATGAAACAGTTATTTTATATCTCCTCCCATCCATTCCTCTCCAATCCTTTCTTCCAACCAAACATGCCATTAGTACCCAAACAAGTTGTTGATCGTAGGAAGAATTTTTGTCAGTAGAAGGTGAAGTGCACTACAAGGCTGAGAGAGAGAGAGGACCACAAAACTCCATTACTTTGATGCTAAGCTAATCAAACAAACACTTTGTTATTTTTACGGTTAAAAATGGGCTCTCGTGAGTGGGTGGGCATATGCACCACTAGTGTCGTCACGCGTGGTGGGGGGTCACATAGATTGCTGACTGTGTCCCCTCCTTATATATATATATATATATATATATATGCTGACAACGTGACTTAAAAAGAGTTTGTCCTCGGTGCAAGTATATGTTGACCGGTGGTGAGGTGAGGAGAAGCTAGGGTTGGGTAAATTAGTCATGCAACTCTCACATGTGCCTTTTTTTTATTATTTTTTTTCTTATGAGAAATAGAGCTTATACCACCTATATGAGATGACCGTGCCCCTATTTTAAGGGCGTTATCACGCCAAACAAATAAGCATTCTATTGATAATTCACAACCTAAAGTTCTTGTTGGACATCGTCTACTAGAGTTCTCGTAGCATTATTCATTTGACTAGTTTAGGTGGGATTCAATGTGAGTGTTCGGACTTATACTCTGAATTGGACCAAACCATAGTCTAATTTAAACATACGAGGACGGGTAAGAAGAAAAATAAGTAGAAGTACATGATTTTTGTTATTAATTGATATGAGAATTATTGAGAAAAAATTTACAAGAGGAGAGAGATTATCTTTTTTATTATTGACTAAGAATCCTTTATTAACCTAAAAAAAATTAATAAATCATACCAATGTGAAGATCAGATCGAATCAAAAATAACTTTTTTACTTGGATTAAATACGTGAGTATATTATAAATTCTTATTAAAATTGTAGTTCCATTATAAGCTTTGATATCACGGGTTCCAAATCAGTCTCACCACTTCGAGATAAAACTGTGTGGTGGATCAAACTATACTCACTCCCAATGATTTTGGATCATTGCTCGATAAAAAGCCAAGATTATAGTTTGAACTTGAACGTGCCGAAGTTCCAGTTGGGCCCACAAATCGATTGCCCGTGAAGTGGGTCGGTATTTTTTATTTATTTATTTTTAAAAAATAAATAAATTCACGAGTGGGTCGGTAATGGTGCGGGGAAAAGGCGCTCACGAGATTGAATTTGGAAAATCCAAAAAAACTCAGGCGAAGGGTCCCACAAATACCTTTCAAACTGAAACGACCGATGTGGGACCCACAAAGCAATGACCCCACCATTCACAGACCCACAGTTTCTGCTGCTGTCATGCTACTGTTGTTTAAATCTCAGTTGTATTACCATGATAATTAAGATTCGTAATGAGAATGGTTACTTTTGATGTCCTATAAATACTAAACTGATCTCCAAACAAATTCCATATCACATTCTCAACAATGGGTTCCAAAATGCTGCAAGTAAGACCATGTCCATCATACATTCCCACTTACTTTCCACCGTTTTCTCACCAACCAAACACAGAACCACACCATCATCTATTTCCTTGATTTGGTCAACAAACCAGTCTTTAGATTCTTAATCTCAACATATAAATATACCTTTTGATTATTAACTTTTTTTGTTTTGTTTTGTTTTGTTTGATCTTACTGCAGATTGTTTGGGGAGTTGTGGTGGTGTTGGGAGTGGTTAGTAGTTTAGGAGGAGTTGAGTGCAGAAAAAAAAGTACGAGGGTTGAAGAGTCATTGGAGTACTCAGCTATAAGCTGCAGAGCTCACAGTGCATCGATATCAGATTTCGGTGGAGTTGGAGATGGAAAGACTTCAAACACAAAGGCTTTTAGGGATGCCATCAATCAGTTGAGCCAGTATGGATCAGACGGTGGTGCTCAGCTGTTCGTTCCTGCCGGAAAATGGCTCACGGGGAGCTTCAACCTCACTAGCCATTTCACTCTCTACCTCCACAAAGATGCTGTTCTTCTGGCTTCCCAGGTACAATCTTTGTTACTGTGTGTTTGTGCGTGTGTGTTTAAGTGTTTGAATTCTAACATTTTTATACTGGAATAGTTTGTACCCCCTCGTCCCATAATAATTATCTATTTCAAAAATTTTGATTTAATGTCACTTTTTATTTTTATTTTTGAGTCATTTGAGATATTCTTAATCATATTCACTTTTTATACTTATATATTACATATATCCCATATTAGATGTCTATTTCAGTAATTTTGATTTACAAAAATTGTGATTCAAAATTTTTAATTAAGACGACAACTAATATAAGACGGAGGAAGTATATATTTTGGAATGAGGGAGGGTTTTTGCGCAACGGTCAGATTGTTCCATCTTGACCTGAAATATTTTTCAAATTAGGCCTACTTTAAGCCTAAGTTAGGCCTAAAATATTAACAGAAAGTTTATTCTCTTAAATATGTTTCAGGTGGGACTGGTGTTTTTCACTTAATATAAGTCTAAGGAAATAAAAGCATTTGAAATAGTATTTTAGGTCTAATTTATTAGGCAGAATAGCATTCTTTTTGCTATTATGTTAAGGACTCTCTTTATTCTATAAAAGTAATGGTAAAAGCCTAGCTAAAAGATGAAAAAGGAATAAATTGATCTTTGCTCATCGCAAGGGTTAAAGAACCAGTAGCATCTAGGTAACTCGGATGTCATGTCATCACGTGTCTATCTTATGTTATTACATTATTTATGCAATAACTCACATTGTTTACGTAACAACTTCACATTACTTATGCAACAATTACATTTTATCATGCACCAACAACTTTTTCATGTATCTGTTACACGTTTTGCACTAGGGCAACGCTCTACTTTGTAGTGCAACAGCCTCATGACGAAGTGCATGAAATAACGATGCAGTTGTTGCATAAATGATGTGAAGTTGTTATACAATCGATGCAAATTATCGCATAAACAGAGTAAAAAAGATAAAAGCACAAGACGCAACACAAGATGAAACGTCTTGGTAAAGGATAGGCCAACAAGAAAATATTTTACTGAAGAAATCTATAAAAACAAATTGGAAGAGGCCAACAAGAACTGTGCTACAAACCTTGAGTTGATACCCATTGCAGATTGAGCCAAAAAAAATTTGACAACCCAATATTTTGCCTCAACTATCTTTGTATTTTCCACTCAGAAACTCATATTCCCAACAACTAATTATATATATATATATATATATATATATATAGTGTCTGTTTATAGACTTCCCATTCTAAGGTGCATGATGCTGTGTCCCAATTTCCAAGTGGTCTCTGCACAGAGAAATTTTTGAGTGGTTTCGGGATCATTATTCATGTCAATCACCATTGACTACATAAATAAAAAATCGAATAAAGTTTATACATTTATGACACAATTATTTACATGTCCAATAATTATTAGTCCGAAATTATATAATAACTTCTTGTTTCATGGCGAATGCCCAAGATACTTTTATGAAGAGATACCAATTAGATTTAATGTAATATTATCAAACTTTATTATCATAATGAAATTAACAGCACTTACTCATCTTTTCTCTCAAAAAATTATGAGGTCTAGTACCGTAACTTCACATGGTGTGTTTAGAGCAAATGGACTAATATATTAAGTAAGTGGTACAGGACATAGGGGAGTGGGCTGTTATTAATCCATTGCCATCCTACGGCCGAGGAAGGGATGCCAATGGAGGAAGGTACATCAGTCTCATCTTTGGAACAAACCTAACTGACGTTGTTATTACAGGTAATTTTAACCATCACATTAACACCAATTTCAAATTTTTACTCATCTTTTATGTTTGTTGAAATTGCATTGAGAAACAAATTCTACACGCGTAGACCATTCAATTCCGCGTTTATTACTTTGACGATTCTAAAATAGTCCCTTTTGATATCAGGAGACAACGGGACGATAGACGGGCAGGGTGCATTCTGGTGGCAGCAATTCCACGGTAAAAAACTGAAGTACACCCGGCCGTATCTGATTGAAATCATGCACTCTGACACTATTCAGATCTCAAATCTAACGCTTGTGAACTCCCCATCATGGAATGTTCATCCTGTTTACAGCAGGTAATTTGCTCTCTCACTCTCTACCTCAAATTTCATATCACCTTGTGCTAAAATTTTTTGTACATATCAATTGCAGCAACATTCTTGTGCAAAGCATTACAATCCTAGCTCCAATAACGTCTCCAAACACTGATGGAATCAATCCAGGTTCAGAACCACTTGATCAACTTACTTTAGTTTTTTCAACGGCTATGATCATTTGAGGACTAATTTTGATTATGCTTTCCTTTCATGATCAGATTCATGCACAAATACAAAAATTGAGGACTGTTACATTGTCTCTGGAGATGATTGTGTGGCTGTTAAAAGTGGTTGGGATGAGTATGGCATAGCATATGGCATGCCAACCAAACAGTTGATGATCAGACGGCTCACATGCATTTCACCATACAGCGCCGCGATCGCGTTGGGAAGTGAGATGTCAGGTGGGATCCAAGATGTCCGGGCTGAAGAAATCGTAGCCATTCATACAGAATCAGGGGTCAGGATCAAGACAGCCGTGGGACGAGGAGGGTACGTGAAGGACATATACGTTAGAGGTATGAGCTTGCAAACCATGAAATGGGTATTCTGGATGACTGGCAACTATGGATCACACCCGGACACCCATTACGACCCCAAGGCAATACCGGTGATTGAAGGGATCAATTACAGGGATGTGGTGGCGGAGAATGTGACAATGGCAGCCCGGTTGGAGGGAATTGCCGGTAATCCATTTACCGGCATCTGCATTTCCAATGTGACAATTGGGATGGCAAAGAAAGCGAAGAAGGTGCCCTGGACATGCACTGATGTTGCCGGGATCACAAGTGGCGTGGCACCTCCACCGTGTGATATGTTGCACGATCAAGGTCCCGAGAAAATTAGAATGTGTGATTTTCCAGCTGATAATCTACCAATTGATACCAAGGAGGTTAAGAGATGTTCATATAGGATGAATTACTCGTCTTGAAATTCCGTCAATTAGGACTAGCTATGAATTCTGAGTTAAGAGCCTGTGTAGTAGCTTGTAGATTATGCTTCAACTCTGTTTCTCAGATGATGCTGTGTTAGACATGTACTAAAGCCGTACAATATTGTTGCCCTAGGAAGATCATAAAATTCTGAATAGTGCAGCAGCAGTTCACATATAATTATATACATCCACATATATATATATATATATATATATATATATTGAGCCAACCAAATCTATATAACCAAGAGTAGCCAAATGTATTCAATAAAAGTAGCATTAAGCAAGCTTTATGATAGTCACAAATATGAATAAAAATGATGAGAATAGTTTTCAAAATCCAGGCAATTCTGCATATTCATACTTCCTATTTCAGAATTACGTAAATTATGGAATTTTCACATTCAATTCCACGTAAAGGTTTGGTTAGCATTCATACTGAAGATGGTACACGAACACCAGAAACATCAATATTGAAACAAAACTCAAAGTCCAAGTTCTACCACCCAAATAGGAAAAAGACTACACGGGCAAGAACTGACATCTGTTATACGTTCTGCCGAATAATAACCCTTGAGTGCAGTTCTGCTTCAGCCCCTTCATACATCATCTCAATATTACATAACTACAAGAACGGAAACAGAAGTTGGATGAACTCTTAAACAATTTTTTGTATCCCAAGCATTTACACTGGATTTATTTATCCTTTCCCCGGAATATCATTGAGGGTTAACGACAGTATTCTAGGGAATCAAGTCCAATATCTACTGTATCATCGCATAATCACATGTTCTTAATGGGTTGGAATCGTTGGATCGGGGTTGAATCTTACAGACTCCCTCCAGATGAGCTCCTTGATATTCTCTTCAGTGAATGATGGCTGCTCAAAATCAAAATTGAAAGGCCTAAGGCAAACAGGCTCCTCGTTGATGTCATGAAGAGGTGCCAAGTATGGGTGGCACAACGCCTCATCAACTGCAAGCAACCAGGGAAAGAAGTCATCAAGATCATTAATGACCATAGCTCAGTCAATAGCATTGACAATTTATAAAACGGTTAGGAGAGTGAATAATTTACATGTTACGTAAACATGCGTATTTCTCGTATCATCAAAATCTCATAAATTACTTTAACATGGCAAAATTCTTTATTAAAGGTAAAAAGCTACGATGACAATAAATGGTACTGCTCATTGCAACTAAATTATGTGAAGGCAGAACTCAAAAGCAGACTAGGATTACAATATACCTGTAACGCGCCTGTTTGGATCAAAGATGAGCATTTTTTCCAGCAAATCCACAGCTCCAGTAGACATATTGGGAAATCTAGCAGAAAATTGTTGCCTTGGGTACTGTGGAAGCTGTCTAACGTATCTTCGGGCGTTATCACTCCGAAGAAACCCAAGACTGGCATCATCAGGTGAACCTATGAGCTTTTGAAAACAAAAAAGAAAATAAGGCACACGTTGTCAAACTCAACGTTGAACCAAGTTCTAAAGAAAAACAACACCAGACCATTGGCCTGAGTGGTATAACATCTCCTCCCCACAGGGGTGGTGAGGGGTTTGAGCCCCGACTGGGACAAAATTGTGTGGGTGTGCGTGGGTTGTTTACCTAACCTAAAAATAAATAATAACTAAAAATGGAACAGCAAATTTGGTAAATTTAATTTTGTACTTTGTGAGGCACAGGTCATTTCAGTTTTAAAAAGTTTCCAAGTCATTTTCAGAAGAAGAGAAATAGAGAGGAACACATTGTTCTCCTACCCTCTATTTTGGTCTCCATAGATCAAGTTGGCACCCTGTTATATATTAGAATGTAAAAATTTTTAATTTCCCTTGTGACCACAGGATCAGTCTCTTAAAAATCTCCCAATTATAGCTCAATGTCTAGCAGATTAAAAAAATCAGGTCATGCAATGTCCATAAACTTGGTAATAAGAAATAAATCTAAATATTGCACTGAGTAAAGAAGTAAAGGATCTGAGTAAAGAAGTAAAGGACTACTCTGACTCTTGCTCTCAGAGATAGGTGAATCATGCCAGTAAGATTAACAGCCATGGCGAAAAAGGTATGTAAATGTCAACTGACCTAGGATGACAAAAACTTATACAAAAATTATCAAGTTCATTGATAAAGGTGAGAATGAATTCACTCAGAATACCAAAAAACCATACCTCTGTAATAAGTCTCAGCTGATGAACATAATCCCTGCCAGGAAACAGGGGCTCTCTAGTCATGATTTCACCAAGTATGCAACCTACTGACCAGATGTCAATTGCTGCAGTGTACTCCGAACAATTAAGGAGCAATTCTGGTGCCCGGTACCATCGAGTAACAACATACTCAGTCATAAAATCTGTTTCAGATGTTGTTCTTGCAAGCCCGAAGTCTGCAATCTTCAGGTCACAATTCGCATTAAGGAGCAAATTGCTGGGTTTTAGATCACGATGCAAGACATTTGCAGAATGAACATATTTGAGTCCTCGTAATATTTGATAAAGAAAGTACTGCATAAGTAGCAGAGAAGAATCAATCACATGTGCAATGTTGATCCAGTACAAGTTAGTCTCATAAGACTACATTATCCAAGTTGGGTTATCTATGCTCATGAAAATCATTTGGTAAACTCAAGATAGATAAAACTTGTGAACAGGAATTCTTCACATGGGTAGGTCGTAGGTGACATGGAGGAAGTTGATACCTTTACAGGATGGAGTAAATCATTGAAGAAAAATATTGAAAATAAAGTAACTTTAATTGTTCTTTTTTTTAGTATCACTGTAAAATTGTTCCCAGAAATTAAAAGACCTTATGCAATATTTCAGTTCTCAGTTATATACCTCACCCAAACTCAATGGACCTTTGTTGTTTTGCTGTTGGAGCCCATTTTTGTCCCTATCCTCCAACTCCATGAATACCATGATTTTCATTATCATGAATAAAGAATAAATAGCTGAAATCCTTACTGTACCGGGCTTATCAGTTCACTTATATTGAATTCCCTTACTGGTCACTGTGGAATGGTATCATTACAAATTTAAATCATCATTAATCAGTTGGAGCACAAGAAAGTGCTAGATGGTTCCGAACTTTCTAGTAATTATAGCTAATATACTGTACTAGGCCATCAGTTCACTTGCATTGAATTCCCTCACTGGTCACTGTTGTAACAGTATTGTCAAATTTGAAACATCATTAATCAGTGAGAGCCATATCAACTGCTGGATGATTCTGAATTTTCTGGTAATTAAAAGCTTATAGCTGATATACCTAATCTTGCACGTGCTACATACCCAGTTTGCAGAATATTTACAGTGCCTACTACAATCAATTATCAACAAATTGAATATGAAAATTTGAAGCCCTCAACTTGTAGAGAACTGTAGTTGTTCGTTGCTGGTAAAATGCTAGAGAAGCTTAAATGCTAAACCTTGACATTTAAGACAAGGAAAGCTACAATTAAGAGTTTCCAGCATCATCTAAGGTAATCACATATTCTTCATCTCTCTTCTTGTAAGCGTAGCTTCCATAGTTCCATATTACCATTGTAAGGCAAAAGGAAAAAAGAAAAAGAAAAAGAAAATTGATAAGAATAATCGCCGCAAACCCCAATATGAAAAGGATGCAGCTGAACAAGGATGACTGGGTAACATTAACATAGATTATTGCAAGATCCTAAAATCCAGGTTTTTTTTTAATCAATATAGCATTAAAGAGAAGAGCATCCAAAGTACTTCATTGTAGTGAGGTAACAAATATAAATTCTTATATGTGTATGCTACGAGAAAGTGAGGCCAAACCCGGCAATGATCATCAGCCAATGGTTGGTTAGAGCGGATTATCTGATGAAGATCAGTATCCATTAATTCATAAACAATGTAGACATCGTTGAAAGTTTCCTTCTGTGGAGGCCGTATAATGTCTTTGAGCGCAACAACCTGTGTTGGAGAAAATATTTGAGCAGTAAGGATGTGATTTTACCAAAACAAAAAACTTGAAAATCTTTTAAATTTCAAACTAAACAGCAAAATGAAGGCAAAGAAGCACAAAAATAAGCCCGTCTGAAGAATCCGGAAGCAATTCTACTGAAGATACTGTAAATGATGAAACAATCTCAAAAGACGGGTTAAATTTTCAAATTCATTTTTGGTAAGTTTTCTCTACTTCTGGCTATCTCAATAATGAAATTCATCCGAGGCCCAAGGGTAGTGACTTTAACTCTTAAGAGCCATAATCCATGCAAGAGGGTGAGACTTGGCGGAACCGTAAGGTTGCTCCATTGTGACCTAAAGGTCACGGGTTCGAAACAGGAAACAATCTCTCTGCATGATGAGGTCATTGTGACCTAGAGGGCTAGCCCTTTGCCCTAATCCATGCAACTTAGGTAGCAATAGGCAGATCATTCCATGGAATGAATCTTTGCTATATCATGAATCTTTTTTTTTTTTTGATAAGTTGCTATATCATGAATCTCAAGCGCTCCATTGCATTTCTTACACGTTGATGAACATGGGATTATTTCTTTTCAGTTCAGCGACCATGTCTTTCCTTTTATTGGCTAAAAGTCAATGTGGGGAAGAGGTGTTGAACCAGAAACCACTTCCAAAAGATGCAAGAAAGGCAACCATGTCCCCATAAGTCCGGTAAAAAATTCCTACAAGCAAACACCCAGATACAATTTTCTTAATATATAATTAACATAAATTTAGATGTATTATATTTTTTATAGGAGTCGTGGAGACACTCTAGATCTGGAGGGTTCTTATGATTGCCTCTCTCACTAATGCTCCAGCTTCAATACCAGTTTCTGGTCACACAGGTTTTAAACAAGCGGGCATATTTACATTAAAAATAACTCAAAATATTGTTTCTTCCTGTCGGTTCAGTCTATGCAGATGCAGATTTCTTAGCTCTAGAATATGCAGACGCTATAAAGAGGAACAAAAAAGGGGAGAGATAGAAAAAGAGTACGAGTTCCGTTGTCTTTTCCTTGATCGAAGAATCAAAAATACTATTTTCTCCACAGCATCCAGTGATCTTTGGGTAGTAGGAAAGACTCCTTAATTTATGGAAGCTTCTTAATGGAAATGAAATAACCAGGTTATTAATGAAAAAAACAAAAAAGTGTTTTCATTCTGAGTCAAGTGAATGAACTGTCAGTAACTTGCATGAGAGTTAGTTTGACAGGTTTAATTATTGTAGGAGACTTTGAGATGTTAGCGAATAGGGGTTACTTCTTATAGAAAGTATCTTCCATGTGGTCCAAGCAGTGACCCTTTCATAAAAAGATCCATGCTGAAAATTGTTCTCTTATCGGAAGAACAAGTGGCATACATACAAATTTACATATCTAAGTTGGTGCCCAAATTACAAATGGACTAACCACACTCCTCCTTCGAACAAAAGACAACAGATAACCACTGCAAAATCACATGGTAAAGTGATTAACATTTACCGATCAAAAACATGCCATGGACAGAGGAGAGACAAAAAATGGAAGATTACTTAATGTGGGAAGTACAAGCCAAGTCCAGAGCAGTGTAGCTTTTTGCCCAAAAATAAATGAATGCATAAACAGATACAATTTAAATAAATGCAAAGAGTAATTGGAGACTGTATCCCAATTGGTTAATTTAGCAGTTCAAAAGTAGGGTTTTAGAGTTTTTTGAGATTTCTAAAAGAGATACCTCATTGAAAATAGAAAAGCATCACACTTCAGCATATTCTGTAATTTTAGGGAAAAAGCTAAGATATTACTAAAGGTTGCATTTGGAGTTCTACATTGCCTGGAATGTGAAGTTAACCAATTTTTCAACCTTTATATTTAACATGTCTTCACGTATATGACCTTCAATCCACCCAATTCCACTCTTGCATGAAAGCAATTCAGCCATTGCAGAACACAAGCTACAAAATATGAACAAGCCATTGCATACTAAGCCAAGCAGAAAGTCAAGATATGGCTTCCATTACTAATAAGCATCTTATACTTTATCCACGATCGCCTGTGTCTGCATTAACATGCATACTTTCTAATACTGCAGACAGGCGAGTTCATATAAATTGATTATTTCATGTGCACGAGTTTTTTTTCCCACTGAGAGGTCAATATTACCTGACAAGCATATATTCTGATTGATAAATTTCCTATCAAAAAATATGAAAATTCACTATCATTGATCAAAATCATGATTCATTACAAAAAAGCACAAGGAACCAGGAAGATGTTGTAGCATATAAAACCAAGTTGATATATGACATACTGAGCTTATGAAGTTAACTGGACTTACATTTTCATGATCCATGTGGCGAAGAAGCTTGATTTCTCGTAGTGTCCTTTTGGCATCTATTCTGTTGTCAAACGCATTACCAATTTTTTTAATGGCAACTTCCTCACGTGTCTCAGAGTTCACAGCAGCACTGAACCAAATGAAAAAATCACATTTTTCCTTCACATTGTTGATAAAACACAGAAAGTAGGTTAAATGGATGAAGAGGTGTAATTTTTATTAGACATCTTGAAATACCATATTATCGAAAGCTAAATTTCTTGTAATTTGAACACTCAAAGTCACTAGCAATTCTCAAGTCATAAGAACCCAATAAATTCAAAAGGTTCCAACACTCAATACGTAAAAATGGTATTTTTAAACGCTTAACTAGTAAACATAAATTGGACAATTAACTGGGCCCTTCATACTTACAGTTTGATAATGCATAACTTACTGATGCACAAGAACACGTTTCAAACTATAGCAAATTAAATTTTGAATTCGCTATCATAAATTCACACACAGGCATATGTGTTCCATACAGACAGCGATGTCCCCATTTCCGGAAATTGTAAAGTAAACACAGTAGTACACCCGTAACTATGTGCATGTGCAACACTTCTTTCCATGTCAATGGTAGATTGTTCTCCATGTAGTGCGGATAGAGCAGATATAGGCTGGGGGAAGCTAACATTTAATAAGACTCACATGCAGGCATATGTGTTCCATACAGACAACAGTGTCCCCATTTCCGGAAATTATAGACACACTAGTACACCCGTAACTATGTGCATGTGCAACACTTATTTCCATGTCAATGATATATTGTTTGCCATGTATGGAAATTGTAGTGCAGATAGAGCAGATATAGGCTGGGGGAAGCTAACATTTAATAAGACTCACATGCAGGCATATGTGTTCCATACAGACAACGGTGTCCCCATTTCCGGAAATTGTAGACACACTAGTACACCCGTAACTATGTGCATGTGCAACACTTATTTCCATGTCAATGGTATATTGTTTGCCATGTATGAAAATGTAGTGCAGATAGAGCAGACATAGGCAGGGGGAAGCTAACATTTAATAAGACTTGCTTCAACAACTTAACGTCTTGTGAAATAAGAACATTAGAAAAATAGTGCACAATAAATTAAACTGTATAAAATCAAACAATTACGCATTAAAAAAAACATTAAGCAAATAATATGTGCCATTGCCAAAACAAGGAACTCAAGTTTGATTGCTATTATATGTTTATTTCCTTTTTTAGTTTTTACTCTTTTTGAACTGGTCGATCGACATAGTATTATCATTAACAGGCATCAATAAGTGATCCAATTTATTAATTCAGCCCCACAAAACAACACAACTATCATCTATTGACTTCTATCAAAAATAAATCCAACGAGAAAGAAACTCAAAATAATTCCAAAAGGAATGGCTGTGCTCAAAGCAATTTAGCTAACCTTGGATCACATGAGTATGTCCAGAGGACTAAAATGAACCCCAAACTTCCATTTCCTGAAAGAACTCTCAAAGAAAACCGCCAAATAAATTTGTTCTCACTTCAATACTCACATTCTCAATCACAGTGGATTCAAATTCTAAGCAAAACATCTATCGAAAAGAATAAGAAAATTTCAACTCAAATCAAACACGATCTTCAAATTCTTCACAACCTACTTGAATCCCAAGCCAATCCAACAACAATCTCAATCTCCATAAAATGTAAACAACAGAATTAACGCATTCATATACATATAAAGAATAATCATGGGCTTGAAGAGAAGATCGGAAGTTCTTACCAAACCATGCCGTAAGCGCCGCGACCGACGGGACGAATGGGCACGTATTTTCTAGAAACTTCGAAGAGGTTACCGTACACATTGTACTGTACGTATCGTCCACCGTGAGTGGGGTCTCCTCTGAAATTAGTATCCACTGGAGCAGAGCTCGATTCCATATCCGATGAGTCCGCAAAAACCCTAGAAATTTGGGCTGAAGATGGCGGAGGCTGTGGCGCTAAATTGGCGGAGGGTCTGAAGAGAAGGCGAGGTTTGTAGCTACTACTATTCTACAGAACATTGACATTTCTTTGGTCTTTGGTCGTTGGGACGACTTAATTTTCTTGAGAGAGAAAGCGCGTGCGTGGTTGTGTGAACGAACTTTAAATGGGAGTGGGGCTTTTGAACTGGAAATGATACGATTACTCGTGAATTGGATTCACCTTTTTTGGTTGCTTTTCTATCTTTGTGAGGATGTGTAAGGTGTGTATTCATGAATATTGAGAATGATGGTCCCTCAATCGACACCGTACCTCGGAGGATAATAGATCAGGGAGGTAGAACTTCTAATTATCAACTATTTTGCTACTTAAAAAAAAAAAAAAAAAAAAAAAAAAAAAACTATTTTGCTACTAAATCAGTTAGGAAATATGTAGCACAGGGATTACGAAATGACTGCGATATGATATATCAACAGGTAAAATTTTACTAAAAAGGTATGATATTATGACGCAGATTTTCATATATGGCGTAAATACAGTTATATATAAAAATATTTTTTTTTATTTATAAATATTTATTAAGTAAGAGTATTATAAACTTTTTATTCATTTTTAATTTCTAGTATAAAAGTTGCTTTGAAATAATTTAAAAAATAAATAAATTTTTATACTAAAAGTTGCTTTGAAATAACTTAAAAAATAAAATTATATTATTATTGTAATGATTTTATATTATATATACCGTTATTCTATTACTTTGCCATAATAATATTTTTTGTTTTAAATAAACAAATATCATTCTAAGATTCACTTATGATAATAAGTAAGCTTCTATTTAAAATGTTAGGAAGTGTTAGCCTAAATATGAGAAAGTGTCAATAAAATATTATTCAAAATAATAAAATTTAATTTTTATTTATGGACACATATATATTTGAGAAGTATCCGACAAGTATCAATGTTCGACACGAACATGACAGTGTATAGCTATTTTGTAGAAATGTCCGTACTTTGTAAGTTCAGGTCATTTGTCCTGGTGCAACCTACTGAATTAAAATGTGTTAGAAAATTTTTATAGTTCAGACAAAAATGCAAAACTACTTTGCCAACAAATAATTTTTTTTACGGTTCCTCAAGATTTGTCTGCAAATACGAAAAATAATTTAATATGTAAATTTTATTTTTTACCATTAAATCAAGCAAAAACCCAGCCAACAAATAAATTTTGTCTTTGGTATGCAAATGTTAATTCAGGCGATCAAAGTCGTCCCGCTTAGTCAAAGGTCGATCAATGTTTGGTGGCTAACCTTCTTTTGGTTTGAAGTCGAGTCATTGATTTCTTTGTCAACTGTCTCATTACACCTTAATTAACATAGAAAATCTCAGTCAATTCAGGCGGCCTGATTTCAACTGTTTGTACCCACCAAATCCAGTCAATTATAATTTATAAATAAATAAAAATTTGAAAGAAAAACCGACAATTTATTTTATCACTTTTGTTTTTAATTATTTTAATTGAGTTAAAAATTAAAATAATTGTAAAATCAAATAATACACGAAATTTGATTGCTTGAATATTATTTCTCCATTCAAATTAAATTAAAACCGAACTCGATACCCAACTCATTTTTTGTTTTTAAAATCAAAATCCAACCATTTCATCAACTTACCAAACCAAATTATGTTCTCTCGTTGAGCTTTGGATGCCCACCACAGCTCTTATAAGTGAGACACTACATTAGTCGAGCTTTTGATGATAAATAAGTGGGGCTTAAAATGTTGAACTGTGCAAGTACAGTGGGTGGCTAGTCGAACTATATATAACGGCCAGCTAAAAATCACAATAAATGTTTAGAGGGTTGGTAAGGCAAGTTAATTCTAAGACAAGCGAGGTTCAATGAATATCTACTTAGGCAATGTATCAACTTCAATAGTAGCCAACGTAACAACTTTAATAGGTTGCACAATAAACTCATGTCATTTTCTATCTGGATCCTATGCACAATAAGCTTCCCCTTATAACATTTTTCCCCATTCGAACTCGCAATACCCATCAAGGACGAATTCAAGAATTGTTAATGGAGAGCTAATATTAAATAAGGGGGAATTGAGGATCGAAAGATTAAAGAGTTAGGAAATTTTAGAAGAAATAGAGTTAAGACTTTAGAGGGAGAGAAACGATGAGCTCTCTAATTTGTGCAATATCATAAATTTAGGAGTTCTTTTTGTTTTGGCTTAATGATTGTTTCGGGCTTGTTTGGCTTGGGCCTATTTGGTTAGGCCTTTGTTTTAAAATTGTGGCTTAGATATTGAACTTGTTTGGATGGGTTAAAATTGGGAGGCTAATACTATTACTAATTTTTCCTTTTTAAAAACTTTAGGCTAAATATATCTATACTAAAATATATATATATATATATATATATATATTTTTGGGGGGCTCAAGTCCACCCAAGCTTTCCCTTGAATCCGCCACTGGCCCTCATTGGGGTCAGACCACCTTGCCTACTCAGAGTAACTCATCCGGACACCTTTTGAGTCGGACGTTTGGCGTGACACCGGATCAAGGATTGAGTCTGGCTCTGATACTAACTGTAATAGGTGGGCGTTTATCCATTTACTCAAAAGTTCAAGTTGTTGAGTAATGTTGTATACCCACCCATTTATACTCACTTTCTATCCAGATCCGATGTGGGACAAATTTCTCCCTTCTAACAGTTGGCGAATGCCGTGATACCAAGCAGTTAAATAAAATTCACGAGGAAGCCCATCAATCTGACAAATTAAATGAATAAATAATCAGCACATAGAACAAAACCTTCGGAATTGAAGTCAATGCTCTTTACCTCCAAGCAAATGCAGAATAGTCCGCAGAATAGTCCGTTTTCCAATATTCCCATCCATATCATAGTCAAGTTCAAATTCCACCACCACCACCACCAACTTTGCTAGCCAACCCCACACGCACAACCATTTTCTTCGTGGTTTCCAATTTCAATCAGGGTGGGATACAATGTTGAAAAGAAAAAATTAGAGCACTGCGATTGTTAGTGAATGAAAAATTACGTCTCGACGTCCCCAAAGAAGTAACGCCAATCCCAAGACCAAACCATTATGTTTGGGAAAATCATTTAGAGCGACATTCGAAAACTACTGATGTGAGGGCGTGAACCCCCTCCCTTTCTGTTTACAGCCTCTGGAGTAGTCAGCAAAGTTTATTAGCAGAACACCGAGAAAGTAACACAATAAAAGAAATCCAAATGGCATTAACTCTTTGTGCATCACTCTGCTGTTAAAGATGATGAAGCAAATAATTGTCAGGGAAATAGAATAACGGGTGAATAAATACCAGAAACCTGTTTCTTCCGAGCTCTGACTAGAACATGGAACCATACCGGATCAGAACCATCTTGCAAAAAGCAAATTAGGGTTACGGAAAAATCAAATATTTGGAGCCATTGATTTAATCCCAATTTCAAATGGTGAAACCAAACCAACACTGATAACGTCGGGGACGAGGTGATTCACCTAGTAATGCATTGATTGTTCTGAAACTAAACAAGTGGCCAGTAAGATTTACATTTTGTGGTTCAAAACATATAGCTGGTATAAACATACCCTTAACAACACATAAATATTCAACAAAAATGACCACCTCATATCATATAGATTGTGACACCACAGAATCCACATACCACACTTTTTTCTGGTGCTCATTGTGCGAAAATTTCAGAGTCGGGAATGAACTAAAAAATAAATAAATAAAAAATAGCAGTGCCAAGCCATCAAGAGAGCGCATGGATGTCAATATTTAACCACTTCTAGATAGTTTTGTGATATTAAATGAATAATTCATTTAATACATCTTTCAATTCACTCGCGGCTAAGGGGCTATCTTAATAGCATTATCTTAATAAAAAAATTAAAAAATAAAAATAATAAAACTCCTCCCATTACAATCTAGGAAAAGAGACACCGGAGACTCGAGCACATGGCAAAAATCAGACTGCTTTATCCCTGGACAGAGAGTACAAGAAACAGAATATACAAATTAGTTATAATGAGTAAAGGAAGCCCCTTGGCATAATATTCCACTAAACAACTACCATGTATATTTTAAAAAATTGAAAGGAGAACATCTCAAAATGGTGGCAGGAGATTTAGAGCACTGCTATCTACAGGATGGAACACATCTACATATTGGAACTGTGGTGTTGCAAACAGTACAAGTCTTTTTCATATATCATTGACATTAAACAACAGCATAAGCATACATAAAGCAGTCCAACATTAACATAACACACCTTACAAGCTACAACAGACTGAATAATACTATACTCTACACCATATAGTATATTTTCATCAACCAGATAACAGAGAAGCCCATAACCAAACCTGTGGATGTACACAACGGAGTTTATCTTCATGATTCATTATCCGAAATATTACCAGCCACTCTTAAGTTACAAAGCAAAGCATCACGTCCACCTAGAACAATTTGGAAAAAGCCATCTACATCCTTTGTAAGAAGATCCAACCCTTGTGAAAGTTTTTCCGCATTCTTTCCGAAATCCAAAATGGAACTCTGGAATGCTTCTGCTTCAACAGGGCCCACCCCATCGTCGATCATGGGGTACAACTTTTTCACACTTATATCGACCGCTTCCAGCTCTTTCAGTACTGTTACTCTTCCCCTGGGAATCATATTTCTAATCTCCCCATTTATGAAAGCCTGCAAATCAGTAAAAGCTTCCGCCCATAAGCATGTTTCAGGAACCTGTAAATCCGTCAACTTGTTTGCAGATCCAGAGAAGGCAGCAGCAAAGATGCTACAGATGAATACAGTTTCCACCTTAACTCCGTACATAGCCTGCATCAAAACCTTCCCTTTCGCTGAGTTCTTAACCTTAGGCAGGTTAAGCGTTTCAGTAAGGCCATCTAAGATGGGAAAACAGTTTGCAAGTCTGGGATTCTTTGAATTAATATGGCTCCTCCAGGCATCAAGAGAAGAACGGGACCTCACAAACTGCTTTGAAGAGGAGGAATCCAGGTCATGCAAAACACATTGAAGCAAGAGATGGCCTTGGCTAAGCCGTGAGAGCTCAGAACTGAATGCAATGCAGATATCAAGCAACTTCACGCTATTGCCCAAGTAGACATCAATCCATTTCTCATCCCAATCACAGACAGGGAGCTCAAGCTCAGTTATGAGGGTTTTTATGTCATTGTGAGTTTCACTCAGTAGCTGCATAGCTAATCTCATCCATGACAAGGTAAGGACATCTTCCCTGTCCTTTGGCTTAAGCTGTCTAAATCTCTCAGCCAAGGACTCCTCAAAATTTTTTACAAGTGCATAGAGCCTTGGAGACAGATAAGAACCCTTAGGTAAAATCATCCTAAATGGATTGCCAAATGGGAAGAAAGGCCGGTGCGGGCCATGTGGACGACTCATATCTTAGATTCAAATGTAGTAACTGCAATAAAATCTAAAGTAAATCCAGTCAGAAAACTTATTGAAGAAGAAAATTCAAGACATTATCAAGGACCATGATAATTGTTTTCACAAATGTTTCTAAGAAAAAATATGAATGGAAATATGTTGCAGTGCCCAATCTTAGGTCAATATCTCATATCCTTTTATCCAGACCAAACTTTGACAAAGCATAAATAAATATAGTCACCATGTTTTCTGCTCATACACAAATAAGAAGTTCATGATGCATTTCATTGACCCACATAGCTAGATAGTCCTTTATTTGTGCCGTATACTCTTAAGCATAAACAAAACTTTGTAATCGAGGTCTTTATACTATATACATGATAGCAACATATGATAACAAAAAATAATAATCATAATGTTGTGTTATTACAAAAAACTTTAGCTTATATTGTGGTAATGGTTCCAATTATATTCAAAATGTCTCATTCTAATGATGTTATTTTTTTCATGTTCTCACATACTATGAAACTACAATGGAAAATTTCAATTGAGGTGATGGCCTCGATTATCCTTGAACACCGTTCTAGATTTTTTTATTTTTTTTATACCTACAAATACCATGTAAAATACAGTGGAATCACTTAAATTTAATCAGACAACACACCAAAGTATGAGGAATATGTGGCATATGATTATTATCACGATGAGGAGACTTTCACCAACTCATTGTTTGGTTGGTAAGAAAAGGTAGGACAAGAGGAAGAAAAAGAAAAGGCAAATTTCTAAACACTAGATTTTTCAATAACCATAACCAAAAAATACAAAAGCAAGGCCTTAAGCTAAAACTGCTCCAATAATGATCTCAGCTGAGTATAGTTGAGCTTGGTTGTGTTGAGTTAGATTGCCATGACTGAAAACAAATAAAGAAAATTAAAACCCAAATTTATATTTTCTACACCTCCGCCTAAAATTTCTTAGGAAAGGGAAATGGAAGTCAACAGATCCAAAAAAAACACACAAATTATATCACATATCTTGTCAAAATTCAAGCTTTTTCTAAATTAAATTGTCATAGATCTACAACACAAGCATACAACATAACAATACGAAGAGATCTAATCCTTATCAGATCAATTAAATAAAATCAACGTCAAAATAACAAATCAAACGATAATCATATCAAAATACTCACCAAACGGCTAGATCTTCAGATCAGCAACCGTCAGAAACAGAATTGCAACAATCAATACCTTATAAAACCGATTGAGATATAATAAGTCAAGATTCGGAACACAAACCATAGCTAAATATGGTTTATTAGTATTATTATTATTATTATTTTTTTTTTTTGGTTTAAGACGTCCTAATTTTAAGTCTTAATTCTAAGTTTTCTACGCTAACCCTAGAAATAAAGGACGAGAAACGAAAAGAAAAAGAGCGTACCTGAAAATGTAAACGCAGAGATGGGAAATGTCGAAGAAAGTCACAAACGCATCAGACAGATAGAGAGAGAGCGTTTTGTTAAAAAAAGTCGTCATAAACGGGTGTGTAATGGAGCGCATAAAAAACCCTATTCTACTGACACGTGGTAGAATACAAGTGGAACGTATAGAGAAACGATGGTTCGAGACTTCTCTGGCTGATGATTTTTATGGTGGACTCTAGTATATATATCGTGGAGAACAAACATGAAATGAATTACATTTTTTTTTCTTTTTTCTTTATTTTTTTTTAAAATAACCTTCATATTTTATAAATTTTTATAATTTCAAATTTTATAAGAAATTGTACTAATAGCTAATTTTGATCAAATTTTTTATAAAAATTAAGTTATTTTTTTTATACGTAGTGTTAAAATATTTTATGAACAGTAATTCAAAATTAAAATATAAAAAAAGACCTAAAACTATAACAGTATTACAACACATACCAAAGACAAAATGTTTAAAATATCGTTCTCATGTTTTCTATTTTTTTTTCAAAAAACTCTGACAGTAAAAATATTATTTTTATTTTAACAAAAAATAAAACATTGAAAACAAAACGCTCAGGAATTTATAACAAATTGCTCCCCCCTTAATCACTGCAGTAAGAATAAAAACCTAGTCTGTGTGTTGTAGAGTCAAACACGTCTGCTAAGAACTTTTGAACAAGCACACAACGATCTGTTTAGACTGTTTGGTTGTACTGTGTACTTTGTTGTATGACGATCTGTTTAGACTGTTTGGTTGTACAGTGTTCTTTTCCTTGGTTTCTGTTTGGCCAACAGATTTGAATATCTTTGGCTTTTTTGAAAGAAAAAAAAGCAAAACGACGAAGGAACTCGATACCCTCCTTGATTACTTTGTGCATCTTTTGATTCTGCTACGTATTCATTTCCATTTTTAGTTTGGCGAAGCTTATACATTCACTATTGTTAATTTGCATAAAGAAAACTGTGTCAAGCAGTGATATGTTAATAGAAGTAATTATCTTAATATAAGAAAATATGTTGATGTTTGCATTTAAAACAGTGTCCTAAGGCATGAGATTGAGTCCAGCTAAACTATTGTAAAAAAATTCATATTTAAGCTATATATTTAACCTAAAATACCAATCATAGCCTTAGGCCTGTTTGGCATTTGTTTTGTTTTACTTGTTTTTGTTACAGACATACTGCTGTCCATCGACGACCGACCGAACTCACAGTATTATTTTCACTCAAAACCTTCAACGATCTTTGCTATTTTTCTCTTATTTTAGAAGACCAGGCTAGGTTTCACCCATTTAGTTTGAGTTTCTTCGGAAAAATGCAATATTGTGCAACTGTTTTTGAGTTGTTATTTAATTTATCTTTGAATATGTTTTAAGTGGGCTGTATATTTATCACTTATAACATATTTAAAGAATAAAAGTCATTCAATCCAGAAGTTTTTTAGCCTGTATCATTGTTCAGACTATATATATTGTGGGACGTGGCGGGCACAGTTTGAGACTCACCTAAAATTAGTCCAAGTGACACTGATATATGAGCCTATACATGTTTGTTGAGCGTAACAAAATACAGTCATTGCCAAAATCTTTTGAACTTCTTTTTTTCCACCTTTTGAACTCAATCACAAGTGATGCTAGCTATTGCGCTCCGTGGACAAAATAATGTTCTGGCGTTGACGGTGAAATCAAAACCATGCGTGGATGAAGGTCCAGCTTGCTGGTATGACCAGGACAAAACCAGGTGGGACCCAATGAATTCCACATCAATTACTAGACGAGACGATAATGTTGGAAGTGCCGCTGATGGTGCCACATAATGTATTGGTGGTGGTGGTAAGCTATCGAACACCGTAACATAGTGATAATTTTTTGTCTTTCAAAATAAAAAATTGAAGATTCAAGTTCTCGTAAAGGTAAAGCTGGTATGTGAATTTATTACCAAAATAAAAATAATAATAGTAATAAATTAGTTAAATTGTATTAGTAGTGATAGCCGAACATTAACACTGAGTTAAAATTGGATCTCCTTATTGACGGTCTAGCCATCGAAGATCTTACCATTCCTCTTTTCAAGAGGTGAGATCAAGCACCCTACTCTCTCCAACTTGTTTACTTAATAACTAAGAGTTTAGATTTCTCTCGTTTAAGTTGCATGTTTTCCTCTTAATTTGTATTTTGCCACACTTGCACCTATAAATAAATAATGTGTGCAATAAAAATGAAAAATAAAACGAACATGCGGAAGAGGTCCGCCCACTTGACCATTCGTGTTTATTGTGCAAATTAACCATGGCAGATGAGGAATTGTGCTTCCATATATGAGATATTAGGATCTATTGCGAGTCCTATTTGTGTGAGTAGTGGTGCACAAAAAGCCTTTAAAACTGATAAATCAGTACGAATCGTCGGGTCGGTTAGAATTTTCTACGTTTCAGTTCTGTTTTCAATTTTATAAATAAGAATTCATGAGTTTACTATCTTGGTTTCAGTTCCAAATCCATTCAGACGGAACCATAAACTAAAAATATATCTATATTTATACTAGTATCAAATGTATATATATTTATATATATCTATATCCATATTTAGACTTTTATTGAAAGTACAAAGTGTTTCAAATCAATCTCTCTACTATTCAACTGTCAACCTTGAGTCATTACCAAGTGGTCTAGTTGGTAGAGCTCTACCCAGCTTCCTGAACTCGAGTTCCCCTAGTTTGTCAGCAAAAAAAAAAAAAAAAAAACTATCAACCTTCTCATTTATTTTTTTAAGTTGAATTTGGTCATTTTGTGACTTAAATTTAGTTGGTAACAGGTATAAAATCAAGTTAAATAATTCTATTTTTACAAAGAACAAACATCCTTGGTAAGCTTTTAAAGTGGTTCACCTCATACTTAAATTTAGTTGGTAACATATATGAAATCAAGTTAAATAATTATACTTTTACCTAGGACAAACCTTCTCTAGAAAGCTTTTAATTTTATCCATCTCATTTAATGATATATATATATATATATATGTGTGTGTGTGTGTGTGTGTGTGTGTGTGTGTGGTTGAATTTAGTCACTTCCAGACTTGAATTTAGTTTCTAACAGATATGAAATCAAGTTAAATAATCCCATTTTATAGAGGACAAACCTCGCCGAGTAAGATTTTAATGTTATCCATCTTATTTAATGATGTATTCATATATTTTTATTTTACAAACTCTATTCTCTAATTAAGTTACCATTAATAAGTATTACAAATATATTTGTAACGAATTGTTTTTTCACTTTTGTTATAATTAATTACGGAGTATTTATTTATTATGATAATTATTTTAGTGGATCCTCGGACGTGCTTTTTCACTAGCACACATATAAATTTTATATGTCTAAACTTTTTTATTAAAAACAAGTGTGAGCTTTGGGGGGTCGACCATTTTGTGCTCTCATTATCGTATTAGCTGTATTTATTAAAAGGTATAATCTAATAGTTTTTATTCAATGGAAAGAATAAAAATAAATAAATAAATAATTAGCTTTCATTCAAAATCATGTATTATAATATTTCGACTCTCGTTTTGTATTCTAATATTAGCAATAAGATACTACAACAGTGGCTTGGAAAGACTTTTAATAGTATCTTGTTGCATCAAAATTTCACTTATCTCTTTTAAAGCTTGAACCCCTGAACTCCTTTTAAAAAATAAGAAACTGATACTACTAGGCTAATAGTCCGTTGGTGTTGCATCATTTTTTTAAAAAGAGGTTTCCAAAGTTTCATAATCGAGTCAAACGGATCTTTACGGTTCAGTTCGTGAATGTGTATGTGTAAGTGTGGGTGTACACGGTTCAGATTGGATGAATTTGAGAATATTTTGAAACCACACCACCGTTCCTAAAGGTTCCATAAAAGTTGAAGCCAAAAAAAATAAAAATAAATCAATGAAACTGGACCGAACCAAATGGTTCTAAGTTTTTTTATAATTTAATTATATATATGTATAATTAAAAATATATATTATATATAATATAAATTTTTTTATCATATATTACGTGATATAAAGTGGAGTGCTTGCTCTCCATATTCAACGGATTTGATACAAGTTGTTGTGGCATAAACACAAATTAAACAACTAATGAAATTTTAATCAATCATACAACACATATGATGATTCTCTCTTTTTCCTTCTTTGTATTTTTCACCCCACTCTAAGATGTGATTAGAGTTGATATATATAACTCTCAATAATTTGTCTTATAAGAAATTGTCTTTTGTAAAATAAAGTTAAAACAAATCAGGAAACTGAATTTTTCAATTAAAACAGATTAAGAAACTGAATTTTTTCTAAAATTAAACGGTAAAGTTTTCATATAGTTAAATCTTCTTAACTCTTATTACTATAGAAAATATATAAAAATGTATCCAATTTACAAAATGTTCGGTTTGGTTTAGATTAGTTTTTTAGAACCTTAAATTGTAACCATTTATAAACGGTTCCATGTGTCTAGAACCGGAACCAAACACAATCGCGAAAAAATCAAGCCAATTTGGTCCGGTCAGGATTATTGGTTCCACCTGTTTTGTTTTGTTTTGGTTTTTTTTTTTTTCTTCATATCCACCTATTTGAGTACCTACCAACAGAACTAACAATAAAAAAAATTCATAAATAATAAAAATAAAAAGGGTACAATATTAATAAAGCTTCCAAGATATTTTCTTACCATGGTTAAATTCCTGCGTTTGATTCCTAACTATGGTTAAGTAACAGAATTGTGTGGTAAGGAGTAAGGTTAGGGCTTTGAGAGCGACTCACTATAAATAGTTACAGAAAATAATAAAATAATCAAAAACTCACTTTAGCTATTGCTTCCAATCCCCATTTCAGGCGGCGAACTGCGAATTAGTTTCAGGTCAGTCGATTCGTGTTTTCACGTAATTGAATCATTCACTTCATACTTTCGAAAGTTCTGTATGTTTGTTTTCTGATTAACTCTAATTTGTGCTCTAATTTTTGTGCTGTATGAATCATATGATCTTTGGATCTGCTTGCCTTTTTTTCCCTTTAACAGAGAACTTTAATCATGCGTTTTGAATTTTATTAATTTATATATATTTATAATTTTGTATTAATTTATGTTCTTATCAAAAAAAAAAAAAAATGTATTAATTTATGTAATTTTGTACGTGTCCTCTAATTTTTGTGCTGTGTATGAATCATATGATATTTTGATCTGCTTGCCTTTTTGCTCCTTTAAATTTAATAAAGAACTGTGATCATGAGTTTTGATTTTTATATGTGCGTGTGTGTATAATTTTGTATTCTTTTACTTGGATAATAGTCTCTTTTGGATCATTCTTTGTTAATGATTTAGTTGAAACTTTCTCTGTGACCCGTTGATTCTTTGATTCATATGCATATATGCTATTTGTGGGCTATTTTGTCTGTGTTTGTTTGTACAAATATAACCATATGGGTGACTCGGGAAAGCGGTTTTGGGTAATCTTTGATATTAAATAAACCTTACAAAAGTCTTGTCCAGAGTGTCTACAGATAAGATACCTCTTTTGCTAGAAAATTTTGTAGCCCCCTCCCAACTTTATTCCAGGTGGTTACGAGCCTTCTTGGTTTAATTTTTTGAATATAGTCTTCTAATTCTAGGGGAATAAAAAACTTGTAATAGTTAAAAAAAAAAAAAAAAAAAGAATCATTTGGTTTATATTTTTTTGAAAGCTAAGTTAGGAAAAAGGTAATTTCATATAGTTAATGCCTTTGAAAAAGTTGCATGGTCTCTTCAGAGTTCTTGAAATCTGCACCAGACATGCCATATATCACTGGGATTATTTGCTGAGCTATGAATAGAAGGTAACGTAATGTTTAGTAAAGTTTAAAGTCTTAGCTGTCTAGAGTTCTTACAACCTGAACGGGACTTGTAACTCTATAAATAATTTATTCAGTCTCTTTTTTTATGTTAAAAAATGATTTTTCAATGTAAGAGACAAAGAGGCCAACCAAAGATTATGAATTGAAAAATTAAATCTAAGTGGTGGTGATATGATGTATAATAGGAAAGAATGAAAAAAGAGAATTCATTTGGCCGATCCAATCCATACATGATGAAGGTAAGGATGATGATTATGAATGATTTTTCAAACATTAAAGTGCCACGTATTAATTTAGTGAAATTTTGCTCGTCATAAGGAATGTATTTAGACTTCAACTGTTGGACGTTCTAAACATCCACAATACCATTATCTTAGGTTTATAAATACTTTTGTTATTTTGCAAATGAATCAATTTTTTTATGAATTAATTGGGCTTGTCAAGGCTTGTTGATTTGTTAAACGAACTGAGCTTGTGCCTAACATTGAAACTCGATTACTAAAGAGCCAAGCTTCAGTTCAGTTTGATTCGTTTACCAAATGTGCCCTTATAGTTTGTCCAACCAAACATGCCCTTACAATTTTGCTCAACCAGAACACTCCCTTAGACGTTTGTCCAATCTAGCAAACCTTTATGGTTTTCTCAAAGCAAAAACAATCGTTGCATAATGTCAGTCTCTTAAACATTCCTGTCCTTGTCCTCATATTCAAATAGGTGGAAGAAGAAATAACTTTCAAACCTAATCTTGCATCTTTCGCTCTCATCTGCAACTATTCAAAGGCTAACCGTCAGTAATTATTGCAACTCACGGGCTAAGACTCCTCTTTTTCAGTCAAAGTTTAACGATGGGGAGGAAAATGTTGTTGTAAAGGACAAGACTTCACTCTTGGAGTTTGGCGGGAGAAGTGTGTGGAAAGTGATTAGTGTAAGAGAGGTGGTTGTTTCAGTGAGGAAGCTTGCAGCAGAGCTTCGGCATCACCTGCCACAACCGTTATCGGCAACTTTTAAGGCATAACATTGAATCACTGCCACTGGCAATTCCATCCAATCAAAACCATTACTGTCAATAAGCACTGCCAATGGATCTGCCCTCACGCTGCCATTAACTGTCATTTTCATAGTTGTATAATCACAACCGGCAAGCTTTTTTCTTAACCATCATTGTTAAAATAAACTAAGTTTGAACCTCGATTTGAATTTGGCTGGCCTAGTACTAACATCTCAAAGCTTGGTCCCAGCTTGATTCATTTGTACTCCTAACTTTTTGCATGTATATTTATATATATGTTAAAATAAAGGTAAATATTCAAGTATATATCCATATTTTTAAATTTGTTTCCATGATCAAATACTAAGAAGAGAACACTAAAATATAAGATTTTCTATAAATTTAGAGCAGGATGCGTGAGTGGAGAAACAATTTTGGAGTATTGTTTTCTTGTTGAATTCCATCAAATTGGAAATAAATTGTAAGAAACAGGCTGCAAGGCGGAGCTTGCTTGATTGTACCACAAGGAGGCAGAAAAAACATGACATGTATAAGTGTATAAGATGAGCAGTAGCTGAATCAAGAATCTTCCATTGATGAGCTTCAATAGACGAGAAGATGAATTGAAAAGGAATGCATTTGTAAAAGTGAGTCATAGGTTGAGACTAATGAGTTGAATATTGGATGAGAGTAAGTGTAGATGCTGTTTGGTTTTGGGTCCAAGTTTAGTCTTACTTACAGCTACTAGATAACCCTTGTGCAAGTAGATTATGCAATTGAATTGTCAAGAGTTTCTTCAATATGTTGGAGAGTAACTGTTATCTTTAAATCATCTGTGTTTGTTGCAACATAAGGCTGTCTCTATTAGGAATGTTGTAATATGTAAACTTGCTTCATTTTTAAATCATAAGTTGTGTGAATCCTATTTGTGCTTTGATGTTTATAAATTGTGCATATCGTAATTTGTTTCCTTCCATTGACGAGTATCAATAGACGAGAAGATGAATTGAGAAGGAATGCATTTGTAAAATTCGGTCATAAGATGAGTTGAATACTGGATGAGAGTAATGTAGATGCTGTTTGGTTTTGGGACAAAATGTAGACTAACAGATAGAAAATATCCCTTATGCAAACAGTTTATGCAATTGAATTGTCAAGGGCTTCTTGAATATGTTGGAGAGCAACTGCTATGTTTAAATCGTCTTTGTTTGTTGCAACATAAAGCTGTCACTTTTAGGGATGTTGTAATATGTTTCCTCGCTTCGTTGCTTAATCATAAGTTTTGTGAGAATCCTATATGTGATTTGATGTTTTATATATTGTGCATGGCAGCAACTAGGCTTCTTTTTTGTGAAAATCCTAACATGAGCATAAATTTACTTAATAAACTACAATGTGTTTGGTAAGTTGAAATACATGCCCTTTTTAACAAAATTAAAGTGAAAATGAAAGCTGATCCAGAAAATGAAATTCAATGCCTATTAAGAAATCATTAAAAAAAAAAAAAAAAAACAGTAGGGGCAGCCTTTTCTTATCCAATTAGTCTCCAGAAAGTAGTGCAAGCTATTTCTGTATTTTATATTCTTAAAACCCAGAAGCAGGTCTCGTTGAGAGTGTGAGCACAAGTCAATGTTATGGTTCTGATTTATTTACCTGGAAAGAGTTGATTCAAATTGCATGGATCTGAATGAATAAAGTACCCACATGTCGAACATGTTTGACTTGGAAACTGAAAATATTACCTGAAACCAAATAATTCTGCTATTAAAATTTATTATGGAACCTTGTTCTCAAGTGATTAGTTTCAAATTTGCCAACAAATACTCAATTTGCCTGTACTAATGCACCGTGTCTGTATTAGACATTGTGTATTTTTATATAGATGAGATATAATAATTCGTCCTGTTCTTGTAACCATAGTCGGTAGGCCTTTTTCCATCTGGAAGCGTCTTAAATGCTAAGTGTATTATTGTCATTGATGCAGGTAATTTTTTACTCTTTCAGCAGTTTGTATATCTTGCAATGGCAGATGGTCAAGGAACTGATAAGAACATTGAGATATGGAAAATCAAGAAGCTGATCAAGGCACTGGAAGCTGCTAGAGGCAATGGTACCAGTATGATCTCTCTTATTATGCCTCCACGTGATCAAATATCTCGGGTTACAAAGATGCTGGGGGATGAGTTTGGAACTGCTTCAAACATCAAAAGTAGGGTGAACCGGCAGTCTGTCCTTGGTGCAATTACATCTGCTCAACAGAGGCTTAAGCTTTATAATAAGGTTCCTCCAAATGGACTAGTTCTTTATACAGGAACAATCATAACCGAAGATGGGAAAGAAAAGAAGGTTACCATTGACTTTGAACCCTTCAGGCCCATAAATGCCTCTCTTTATCTCTGTGACAACAAATTCCACACAGAAGCTCTGAGTGAACTTCTAGAATCTGATGACAAGTTTGGTTTTATTGTTATGGATGGGAATGGGACCCTTTTTGGGACGTTAAGTGGCAACACCCGGGAGGTGCTTCACAAATTTACTGTGGATCTTCCAAAGAAACATGGAAGAGGAGGGCAATCAGCTCTGCGATTTGCTCGTCTTCGAATGGAGAAGCGCCACAACTATGTGAGGAAGACAGCTGAGCTCGCCACACAGTTTTATATCAATCCTGCTACCAGCCAGCCTAATGTTTCTGGATTAATTCTTGCTGGGTCAGCTGATTTCAAGACAGAGTTGAGTCAGTCTGATATGTTTGACCCTCGTCTTCAGGCAAAAATTCTGAATGTAGTAGATGTTTCTTACGGAGGGGAAAATGGTTTTAACCAGGCAATTGAGCTGTCCTCCGAGATCCTCTCCAATGTGAAGTTTATACAGGAGAAGCGCTTGATAGGGAAGTACTTTGAGGAAATCAGCCAGGATACCGGCAAGTATGTTTTTGGTGTGGACGACACACTGAAAGCTTTGGAAATGGGTGCTGTTGAGACACTCATTGTCTGGGAAAATCTGGACATTAATAGGTATCTGCTGAAAAATAGCTCTACTGGGGAAATTGTTGTCAAACACTTTAACAAGGAGCAAGAGGGCAATCAGAGTAACTTCCGGGATCCAGCCACATCTGCCGAATTGGAGGTTCAGGAGAAAACATCACTGCTTGAGTGGTTTGCTAATGAGTACAGACGTTTTGGGTGCACGCTAGAGTTCGTTACCAACAAGTCTCAGGAGGGATCTCAGTTCTGCAGAGGCTTTGGTGGAATTGGTGGAATCCTCCGATACCAGCTTGACATGCGATCATTTGATGAGCTTTCTGATGATGGAGAAACTTACGAAGATTCTGAATAGCAATCAATCAACCATCTCCCAACGCCACGAGAGGGTGGAGCTTGCACCGGTCCAGGGGTTGTCGTGCTTAAGGTGATCACACTCAACAAGTTTCAAGGAGTTCTAATCAAGGTTAGTCCCTGAATTTTTTCTTACTACTAACAAAGTTTAAAGGTACACTACCTTTTATTGTTGGGTTTTAATTTTTTTGATTGCTTTGTCTTCATTTTGAACTTAAAGATATTTCATTCTCTGTGCTAAAACACTTTTATGTGGTGATAACATGTGGAATTTCATGGTAGAGCAGTTGGATAAATCTATGAGGAAGTGTAGTTGCATACAGTAAGGTCTATAATTTTGTTTATAAAGCTGGAGTTTCTAATTTATGCAGAAGTTTTCTGCTGAATATATTTGCCATGTAGTATTATGACCATATGATTGATGGACAGCTGATAATCACAGAGGTACTTCTGGGTCCACTGATCATGATGGTGTTGATAAGATTTGGCGGGGTGATGAAATATGTGGTGGGACCAGGACAAAGGAGGTACATGATGAAAATGGAAAGGTGGCTTGGTATAAGTTGTATAACATTGTGAGGATGAGTCCTTGTATTTATGGCATGGCTGTACCAGCTATCCGACCTGATAATATTAAGTTAGCTAGCTCATGGCCATATGTATCTTTAGAGTGAGTAGTGAGTTTTTTGTGTGGGGTTGATGGGGATTTAACTTGGGTTTTTTCTTTTTGCCCTCAATATGTCAACCTCCTCTCTTTTTTATTTATTATTATTATTATTATTTTTTAATTTGATAATTTATTTATGTGATATCTATCCTTTATGATGTATAGATATTGAAGCTTTTTCAAGCATGTTGACTAATATGTTTTTTTTTTTTTGTTTTTTTAAACAACTAACACAGTTATTTACCTCGAAGCCCGATTTCCTGGTTGCTGCCCGGAGGACCGAACCTGACTGATGAATTGGACAAGCTTGGTATACTGTCTTCCCTTGACCGCAGACAGTAGTCGCACTGCAATTATTCCACCAGCGGATGTAAAGGTGTAGAAGCAACTGCATCCTGTTCATACAATGGTGACGTTTACTTGGAAATGGTTAGTTTTACTATTTTGGATGGGGCACAAAGCTCATTCTGTACGTTTTTTTTATGAGGACCCAAAGAAAGAAAAAAAGGGAAAAACTTGAAGTTTAAATTGAAATAATGATATTTTTAGATATATGTATACATGGATGGATAGGGTGGCATTGCTTAACTTGCTTATCTTGATGCTGTTGTGTGGATTGCTGAAATATGCCAATATTGATTGTGCTTGTTTTTGAGGAGACTTGTCTTTTTTAGACCAAAATATAAATGAGAAGGATTGATTTTGGATGGTATAGCCCTACTCAGTATTATCTATTAAACATATGAATCGGCATAGTTGAGGGTCAAAAGGGTATATAAGAAGTTATTTGGACCCTAGGGTTTTGAAAGCTTTATTTGTGTCATAGTAGTTGCTTTTATTGCAAGGAAATGACAATGTCAAACCGCCGCTTGTTTTGTTGTCTTTTTACCACCACAACCCCTTGTTTGACCATTAGGGAATGGGGAATGGGGAATGAAAATATTGCAAGCAAGGGTGATAAATTGTCATTGGGTGGGCTAATATTTCTTTAGTTGGGCTAATACTAGTAATATATATATATATATTTTTTTAGGTTGGACTAAAATTGCCTATAGTAAAAATATATATATATATATTTAGGGGTGGGTTCAAGCTCGCCCTTAATTGCAAGGCTCTATCAAGGGTCCATTTGGTTTGGTGGAGATAGTAGGAAATTATTATTTTTATTTTAACATTTTAGGAGCTTGGACGGGAAAAACTAAGTATTTATATTGTTTTCATATGGTATGTCATGAAAAATTACTTGTATTTATATTGCTTTTATTTTTACAAAATACGAACAATTTTACCATTAGAGTCCTTCGATTTTGGAAGGGGAGGATTGATACCTCTAGGCTATAACCCTATAATGGGTCCTGAGTTGACCGTATGAGTCCTTCAGGATTTTGGAAGGTTAGTAGTACCACTTAGACCATAAGTCATAACATTTTATTATTGAATCTTTTATTATAAATGTTCCGGGATGTTTCTGGAAGGTTAGTAGTACCACTTAGACCATAAGTCATAACATTTTATTATTGAATCTTTTATTATAAATGTTCCGGGATGTTTCATTGATACTTTCTAATAAAATAAATTCTGTCCAATCGACGATTATATCCATTTTTTTACTATGTGATCTTATTTAGGAAATAAGAAACCATTATATCCTCTCTTTTTTTGTGTGATCTTTAGGGAAAAAAAAATGTCGCAGTTTAATGAAAAACAGCTAAACAGTTTCTGTTTGCAACATCTTTATTTCAATTTCACCAGGTAGAGTAAAATGTACTATTCATATATGTACACCGTACACGCACGCTAATATCATCGGTTTGCATTGGAGGGCTAATTGGCCGTACGCTGATCGTTTCGAGGAAGCTTATTTAAATCCCATAAAAATTTGACGGAAACTCTCACTTATATTCCTGTAAATTTTGATTTTAAAATCATAAAACTCGCTTTTAAATTTTGATCATAAAATGTTTTAAAAAATTCTTACACTATAAAAAAAATGATCACATTACTCAAATATCTATGTCATGTCCAACCCTGTATTCTAATACGTGCACATACATATATTGTAAATATGTATATATATATATATATATTTGTAAATCTGATTTATAATTATAGATTTACACAAAAATTGGTGTAAAATATAAACTGCTATTTATGATGTGTAAATTTTTTTCATCTCCAGCACTCTTTTAAGATATATTGCCACATCACCAATGTGTAAAAGGGTTGTGTATTTTACATAACATTTTTATACTGCCAGATCAACATATTTCATTTCACATCCCTCTTTCTCATTCCATTAAAGAATCAATCATATATTAGGTAATTTTGTAAAAGTTATGTGGGGTCCTAGCATGACACATGACTAGTTATTATTGGGAGATATATTTTTACACAAAAGATATAAAACAACCGTTGAAGCTCAAATTAAATAATTCAAAATTTTTGTATAAATTCATTATAACACATCAAATTTACACCAAAAAAAATATACACTACGGTTGGAGATGCACACATTGGTGATGTAGTAGTGTATCTTAACATTAGAGATAAAAAAAAAAAAATTACACATCATATGTGACTGTATATTTTACACAAACAAGTATTTTAATAGATTGTTGGAAATGGTCAAGGTTATTATCACACAAATTGAATTGCCAAAAGATTTTAATTACATATATTATGATTCATTAATGCCTTGCCATTGACATGTAATTACAACAATGCCATTCCTAAAACTCAAAACTCAACCTCAACCATGAAATTGAAAGATCATGAGAGCTCAACCTGGTCCCAGGAGGATCAAACCCGCCTGAACCCTCACAAGCTCATGATCATGCCACCACCGATGGAGCCGCTTGGGGCGCTTGTTCTGAATGAAGCAATCTCTCATAAGTTCCACCACCCTATCAATCGTCATCTTCGAATTCTGCTCGATCCGTCTTGACCTCCTCCTCATCGCGGTCGTCGAGTTGCATTGGCTAGTTGTCATTGTCATCCATGTAATTGCCGTTGCCGACGGTGGATGAGACGAGAGGATGAGGAGGAGGTGATGGAATTGGTGTGCTTGGGAGAGGAAGGAAGAGAAGTGGTGGTGGTGGACGTCGTGGTAGTCGGCGTCCTCGCCGATTCGTACGCTCTTTCTTCTTCTTGCACGAATTAATCGAGCAATCGTTGATCCGCTTCATGTGGCGGAGTTTAATTAATTCATGTGTGCATGTATTGGAATCGTTGTTCCGCTTCATGTGTTCTTTTTCATGATCATGCAACCAAGGGTATATTTGTAATTTAAAAATAATAATTTTTAATTTAACATTAAATAGTATTTGTCTTTTAAGACAGGTATATTGAGACAATATGATCACTTTTTTAAAGTAAAAAAGTTTTCTGAAACAAATTGAAATTTTATGATCAAAATTTGGAGTTTTATAATTTTAAAACAAATTTAAATACAAAAGACACTTTATTGACTTTCTGTAGTATGTGTATATTTTTGTTTATTAAAGCTGTCATGAATTCTACAAAATAGTAAAATATTTTTAAAAATAAAATTCTAATTTTAAAATGTTAATTCTATGTCTGTGGGAAAATTCTAGATATGTTAATTTCATCCTTTGCATATATGATTCTTGACCATATGAAAAAGAAAAATTTATTCTTATACCCAACCATAAAAGGGGATACACAAACACATACACATAAATATACACACACATGACAAGAAGAATCAATTTTGTGGGCTACTAAAATTACCTAATAACAGTCTTATCATTCTAGCCATCAAAATTATGAACGGCCTGATATTAAATTAAATAAAATTACAAGGATGGTAAACATTCCAGCGGCTAGACCACGACCCCTCTTTTTGTGTTTTGTTTGGTATGGGAGGAAAGGGGGTTAAATTGACATCTTCAATCTGCTCTCAAAGTCAGGCTCACAGCAATACATTCTTATGGCCTCTAAAGGGCTGCAAATGAACGACAGCTCGGAACGGATTGTTAAAAGCTAGACTTGGACTCATTCGCTTTTGGCTCGGGCTCATTCGTTTCCAAGCTTGAACACATGTTATTAAACAAACCGAGCTTGAGCAATGCTGAGCTCGGCAAGTTAGGTTTGTGAACAGGCTCGTTTACCAAGCCCATTATATTCTTATTCCTATATTGAAGATGCTAGCCCATATATTACAAGTTTAGCCCAAAGTTATAGCCCGCCTGCTAAGTGCTCAACGTCGCCAAGCTAGAACACAAACAACAATGGTGGTTGAGAAATCACGGCGTGACAAAGATCCGATGGCCATGGACAAGATTTGTTTCATCGGTGGTTGAGAAATCAGGGTGAAGATCGACGGCCATGGGGCAAGATTTGTTTCATCTTCTAAGTATGTGTGTCTATATATCGTTAGATACTCGAATATATATGGGCTGAACTCAAATGTTTGCGTGTGTGTATATATGTGATTGTATAGATATATATATTTACATATTTATATGTAAACAAGCTTGAGCCGAGCTGAGCCCGAACATAGCCTAGCCAAACTCATCTGAACACGAGCCGAACCTGCCTATGAGTTTGGCGTGCCGAGCCCGAGCAACCCCAAGCTCGGCTCGGCTAGACTCATTTGCGGCCCTGGGCCTCTTAACCTAAGACAAGTGAAACCTGCTTAAGATGCAAACAATTGGATCCATCAAACACGAGAAATGTCCGCCACAGTGATGCATAAATTATTTACAGCATAACACACCCAACCAATTCAAGAGCTGTTCTATCCTTGAAAAGCAGTAACACTCAAATACACTAAAACACAACCATCCTTTATGCAACGGAACAATTAAAATATAATTACTAAATTAGCAGGGATAGAAATATGATCACGACAGATGTGCCAACCAATTAACGCAAAGCTCTAATGAATTAGAACGGATATACCAAGAACAAAGCAAGCATCAGTAAGATCTCATTCACAAATATCTAAACTGTACTTCAAGCCAAGCAATTTAACTTCAATATCACTCTTTATTACAGTATTCCACGGTCACCCGACTAGACCACCCATCAATCATATGGTCATGATACTACATGACAAATATATTCAGCAGAAACCTTCTTGCATAAATTAGAAACTCCAGCTTTATAAACAAATTTATAGACCGTACTGTATGCAACTTCCTCATAGAACAGTACCATTTAAAGAAGTTTTTCACAATATATAGAGTTACGAAAAATGTTCATAAAGTCTTCAGGGTCTTGATCCAACCAACAACCAAGATGATGCAAAAAAAGCAAGCAAGCTTATGATCTCCTACAAAGCACATAGAAGAAAGGAATGACAATCTTTCTCATCCAGATAGATTTATCCAACTGCTCTACCATGAAATTCCACATGTTATCTCCACATAAAAGTGTTTTAGCACAGAGATTTTAAGAAAAAATTCAGAGACTACTAACCTTGATTAGAATTCCTTAAAACTTGTTGGGTATGATCCCAGCGACAACTCCTGGACCGGTGCAAGCTCCGCCCCTCCTGGCACCGGCGTTGGAGATAGAGGGGATTGATTGCTAATCAGAATCTTCGTAAGTTTCTCCATCGTCAGAAAGCTCATCAAATGATCGCATGTCAAGCTGGTATCGGAGGATTCCACCAATTCCACCAAAACCTCTGCAGAACTGAGATCCCTCCTGTGATTTGTTGGTAACGAACTCTAGAGTGCAACCAAAACGTTTGTACTCACTAGCAAACCACTCGAGCAGTGATGTTTTCTCCTGTACCTCCAATTCGGCAGATGCGGCTGGATCCCGGAAGTTACTCTGATTGCCCTCTTGCTCCTTGTTCAAGTGTTTGATGACAATTTCACCACTAGCACTATTTTTCAGAACATACCTATTAATGTCCAGATTTTCCCAGACAATGAGTGTCTCAACAGCACCCATTTCCAAAGCTTTCAGAGTGTCCTCCACACCAAAAACATACTTGCCGGTATCCTGGCTGATTTCCTCAAAGTACTTCCCAATCAAGCGCTTCTCCTGTATAAACTTTACATTGGATAGGATCTCAGAGGACAGCTCAATTGCCTGGTTAAAACCATTTTCTCCTCCGTAAGAAACATCTACTACGTTTAGTATTTTTGCCTGAAGACGAGGGTCAAACATATCAGACTGACTTAGCTCTGTCTTGAAATCAGCTGACCCAGCAAGAATTAATCCTGAAACATTAGGCTGGCTGGTGGCAGGATTGATATAAAACTGTGTGGCAAGCTCAGCTGTCTTCCTCACATAGTTGTGGCGTTTCTCCATTCGAAGACGAGCAAATCGCAGAGCTGATTGCCCTCCTCTTCCATGTTTCTTTGGAAGATCAACAGTAAATTTGTGAAGCACCTCTCGGGTGTTGCCACTTAACGTCCCAAAAAGGGTCCCATTCCCATCCATAACAATAAAACCAAATTTGTCATCAGATTCTAGAAGTTCATTCAGAGCTTCTGTATGGAATTTGTTGTCACAGAGATAAAGAGAGGCATTTATGGGCCTGAAGGGCTCAAAGTCAATAGTAACCTTTTTTTCTTTCCCATCTTCAGTTACTATTGTTCCTGTATAAAGCACTAGTCCGTTCTGAGGAACCTTATTATAAAGCTTAAGCCTCTGTTGAGCAGATGTAATCGCACCAAGGACGGACTGACGATTCACCCTACTTTTGATGTTTGAAGCAGTTCCAAACTCATCCCCCAGCATCTTTGTAACCCTTGATATCTGATCGCGTGGAGGCATAATAAGAGAGATCATGCTGGTGCCATTGCCTCTAGCAGCTTCCAGTGCCTTGATCAGCTTCTTAATTTTCCATATCTCAATGTTCTTATCGGTTTCATGAGCATCTGCCATTGCAAGATATGCAAATTGCTGAAACAGTAACAAATTACCTGCATCAAGCATCAATAACAATAATACGCTTAGCAATTAAGAAGCTTCCAGATGGAAAAAGGCTTGAAGATTGCAGTAACAAGAATATGACGAAATCTATATCTCATCTATATAAACCAAACAATGTCCAATAGAGAAGCGTTGCATTAGTACAGGGAAATTGAGAATTTTTTGGCAAATTGGAAACTAATCACTCAAGAACAAGGCTGCATAATAAATTTCAATAGCAGAATTGGTTGGTTAGTTTCATGGAATATTTTCAGTGTCCAAGTCAAACATGTTTTATATGCAGGTAATCTATTCTTTTCAGATCCACGTAACTTGCATTAACTGTTTCCAGGTAAATAAATCAGAACCATAACATTGACTTGTGCTTCTCTCTCTCAATGAGACCTGCTTCTGGGTATCAAGAACAAAAGATACAGAAATAGCTCACATTACTTTCTAGAAACCAATTGGATAAGAAAAAGCTCTGACTAGAGTATTTTTGAAAAATAGTTTCTTAATAGGCATTGAAATTCTTTTTTAGGATCAGTTTCATTTTCACTTTGATTTTGTAAAAAAATAGCCATATTGCAACTTATTGAACAAATTTTAGTTTTATTGAGTAAAATTATGCTCAGGCTAGGACTTTCAAAATAAGAAGCCTAGTTGCTTGTCATGCACAATATATGAACATCAAAGCACAAATTGGACACACACTTTATTATGATTTAGCAACGAAGAGAGGAAACATATTACAGCATATTAAAGAAACTCTTGGCAATTCAGTTGCATAAACTGTTTGTACAAGGGCTATCTTCTATCTGTTAATCTACATTTTGTCCCAATACCAAATAGCATCCACACTTGGTCTCATCCAGTATTCAACTCACGCAATGCCACTTTTACGATTGCATTCCTTTCAATTCATTTTCTCATCTATCGACACTAATTAATGGCAGATTCTTGATTCAGCTAATGCTCATCTCATACACTTCCTAATTTGATGGAATTCAACAAGAAAACAGCCCTTCAAAATTGTTTCTCCACTTATATATCCTGCTCTAAATTTATTGAAAACCTTGTATTTTAGTGTTCTCTTCTTAGTACACCATCATGCAAACAAATTAAATATGGATAAAATTTTAAATATTTATCTGGTATTGCCAAAATGTATAGGAGTTAAAGGAAAATGACTTAGTTTGGAGCCAAAAGACTGATTCATTCTTGCCACTGATCTAAATTTTACAGAAGAGAAAAGGAATAAAAGGACAGGAGGGGAGAGAATGAGAGCAAGAAAAGAACGGATCTCACTAGGGCCTTGACGATCCCTTATGTCAGGGTTCAGTGCTCTATTAATAGAGGTGAGCAGCATGCTAGTGACAAGGGAGTCATCCACGCAGCACCAGCTAACTGTGTGCCATATCAACATCATTTTCTGTGTCAAAGCAGAGATGTCCAGGTCCTGTGTTTTTTTGAGTGAAAAGATGTTCTCTGTGTTTTCACAAATAGCATCTCCGTGTTTTCAAAAACTCTCAAAACAAACTTTTGTAGTTCTCTAAGAACCATGGAACTCAGTTTTTGAAAATCTGTTTTCAAAAAATAGATCCAAGCAGAACCAAAATAGTTTTTTCATTTTTGTCAAAACTGTTTTTGAGTTGCAATTCAAACAAGGCCTAGATTTTTCAATAACCATAACCAATAAAAGCAAGGCCTCCACTTAAACTAAAACTGCTCCAAAATTGATCTCAGTTGGGTTTAGTTGAGCTTTGTTGCTTTGAGTTAGGTTGCTTATAGACTATTTCAGACCAAAACAAAGAGCAAAACTCAGAAAAGAAAAAATAAAAAACTTCTATTTTCTACAACTCTCCCCAAAATTTCTATGCAAACAAAGGGAAATTGATAGTCAACATATCAAAATAATCACACAAATTATCTCAAAAGCTTTTTCTAAATTAAATTGTCACAAATCTACAACACAACCATACAGCAAAACAATACAAAGAGATCTAAACCAAATCAAATGAAGTAAAAACAAAATTAACATCAGATAATAAAGAAATAGTAAATCAACCGATAAACATATCCAAATACTCACCGAACCGCTAGATCTTCGGATCAGCAACCGTCAGGAACAGATTTGCAACAGTCAATACCCTGTAAAACCAATTGAGAGAGAATCGGTCAAGTTTTGAAACACAAACCCTAGCTAAATATAGGTTTATTATTATTATTATTCTTCTTATTTTGGGGTTTTATGATACCTTAATTCTAAGTTTACTACAAACGCTAACCCTAGAAATAAAGGACGAGAGACCAAGAGAAAAGGAAATAAAGGACGAGAGACCAAGAGAAAAGGAACGTACCTGAGGAGAAGAGAGCTCTTACTGTCTGCTTGTCCTGCTGCGGCGTATGCGTCTTGTGAAGTGAACGTGTTATGCCCTAAAATCTTTTAGATTGTCTGGACTCAAAATATCTCTAAACTATTGAGGGCATTTGCGGTAATAAGAATTTTTTTACTTAGGCTGATGTTTCATGTTTGGTGTGTAAGAATGGAATGAAATACCCATTATAATCATTTGTTTGTTTGGTATATAATTTAAAGTGATAATGAACATTTCATTGGAATGAAAATTAATTATACAACTAAATCTATTTCCATGTAAACTTTTTTTTTAAAATTATATTCCCAAAAAACCTTCATGTTTCAAGTCCAAAAACCACTACCACTACCATTGTCTTCAACCACCGTTATTGCCACTACAACTGCCACCATTATCACCACCACTATTGCTATTGTCACCGCTATTGCATTCCACCACCACCAGCGTTCACCTATACCACTATTGCCTTCCACCACTTCCACACGCCACCACTGTCACCGCCTTCCACCTCCACCAATACCGCCGCCGCCACCGCCACCTTCTTCCACCACTGCCGTCACCTCCAATGCCTTCCACCACCACCACCATCGTCACTTCTACCACCTTTCACCACCACCACCGTCATTGTCTTCCACCATTATCGCCTACATCATGTACGCCTTCCACCACCACCACTAGTACTTCCACCACCGTCACTGCCTTCTGCCAACACCATTATCGCCTTCTGCCACCACCGTTGCCTTTCAACACCACCACCTACGCTACTACCGCTTTCAACCTCCACCACCATCTACCACTACAACAATTTCTTTTTAAGAAAATTATAAAAGAATGTTATGCTCTTAATTTAATTTATTTGTTAGTAATAGGGTATTTTGAAAAATTCAATTTGAAATTCATTTCATTCTAAATTTTAAATTAGTCCAACTAAAAAATAGAATGGTTATTATAATTCCATTCTTACGTGTCTTGTATTTGTAACCAAACAATAGAATGAGAATAGACATTTCATTTCATTCCCATTCACATTCTATTCCCATTTGCATTTCATTTCATTTATTTACACCAAACACAGCATGAAAGAAAAAGAAAAGAAAATAAATAGAGGAATGTGATTTTTTTTTTTTTTTGGTATAAAATGTTTAAAAAAAAAAATTAGAAGGATTTGGAAATATATATTAAAACTTGTTGATTTTTTCATACTTACAAAAATTTTAAGTAAATAGAAGGAAATAGTAGCATTTTAATGAAATTTTATTAATATTAAATTTTTATTTTTTTAATTAAAATACAAAATCCATTTAGAAAAATATAATATGGAAATAAATTTATTAAATTAATTTTTCTTTACTATCATTTTTTTTTTCGTTAATCAATCAAATATGGTACCATACTATCATCTTCTTTCCTTTCTTTTTTTTAGTAATTAGATTTTTAGTTGCAGTCGCACAAGTGGTTGTCCTTCCACAGTCGCACCTCTCATTAATTGAAAACCAATTATAAAAGGTTTAATAAATACTTCCTTCCTATTTTTGTGTAACTTTACAACTTAACTTTTTATGACCAAATTACCCTTTTAAATTATTAAGTCTTTTTTTTCCTTTCTTATTGTAGATATATATATATAGTTAATCTTCATTCTTTTCCTTTATGTATATATCTTCATTGATTCTTATCATTTCAATTTTGGGATTGAGTTTTAGTTAGAGTAAAATTGGGAAATTTGAGTTTTAGTACTGAAAGAGATAAGGATAGTTTGTAATCCATGCATAATATGGTTATATATAGATAGATAGGTACATATGTAAATAAATAAAAGTAAAAAAAGGAAATAATATATTCACACGTACACAAACACACACATATATATTTCTTCTTTTTGAATGGTTCACGGAATTTTCCTTTTTCTTTTTCTTTTTTTTTTTTTTTGGAATTTTAAGCAACTAACATAAATAAGATAATAATTGCAAAGGTAGGCCATTTGGCCAAATACAACCCAAAGAAGGGAAAACCAAGCCCAAAGGCAGCCTAAACATGAGGAAAAAGCTAATAACCGTAGTTAATGGCTAATTAGCAGTTAAATGTGATTGTTAACTCACGATCCGGTGAGTGGCCCTAGCCAGAGAGGATGATTGATCCCCAATTTCTACTGTAAATTAATCCGACGGTTTTGGGGGAGGCCGGCAATGAGCCAGCGACAGGTTCCAGTCCTTGAGGATTTGCATTGATTGTGGAAATGATCCTTGCAAGTACAACTCTCAGCGTTGATTTTTTCCTCTTAAAGAACCACTCATTTCTTTCTTCCCAAGTGTGATAGATCACGGAGGAGAACCAAACTTTGCGTAGCAGGTTCATGGCTGATTTATTTTTCCATTGAGTGCTTATAGAAATAATCAAATCCTCCTAGTTTGTAATTGTAGAATTGAACTTACATTTGAGTTTGATAAAACGCCAAATTGGGGAGATGAAACTACAGTTGAAGAATAGGTGTTGGTGTGATTCAAGGTGGTTTTGACATAGTGTACATACATTTTCATGTTTGGACATAGATTTGCAGTCAAATGTTGGAAGCCTTAATTGAACTGCTAGCCATAAATTGAACTTCATCCTTGGAATCGTGTTCTGCAAGACACCAAATTGTACCAATGGACTGGAAGGGAGTGTTCTGCAAGATGCCATGATGTGTGCTTAAGGCTATAGGAGCCATTTGGTGATGCCAACCACAGTTTCATATCTCTTCTTAAAGGACAGGGAGGAGGGAGTGAGAGTAGCTGTGGGATAGCATTAATAAAGCTTGTAGGAAAGGACTGTAATGACCCACTCCACCACATGGTATGATATTGTCCGCTTTGGGCCTGAGCCCGCACAGTTTTGCTCTTGAGCTTCACCTCAAAAGGCCTCATACCAATTGGAGGTGACATACTTAAATATAAGCACTTCACATTTCCTCTACCCAGGCGATGTGGGACTGTGCACCCGTAGCTCGCCAGTGTGGTAACCTGACAGTGTCTCTCGCACCCGCCCACGGCACACCCGCCCACATGGTCATCACAATCCACCCCCTTTGGAGGCCCGACGTCCCCGTCGGCACACTTCCGGCTGGGTCAGGCTCTGATACCATTTGCAACGACCCACTCCACCACATGGTATGATATTGTCCGCTTTAGGCCTGAACTTACACGGTTTTGCTCTTGGGCTTCACCCCAAAAGGGGTCATACCAATTGGAGTGACACACCTACATATAAGCATTTCACCTTTCCTCTACCCAGGCGATGTGGGACTGTGCACCCGTAGCTCGCCAATGTGGTAGCCTGACAGTGTCTCTTGCATCCGCCCACAGGGTCATCACAATCCACCCCCCCTTGGAGGCCCGACGTCCCCGTCGGCACTCTTCCGGCTGTGTCAGGCTCTGATACCATTTGTAACGACCCACTCCACCACATGGTATGATATTGTCCACTTTGAGCCTGAGCCCGCACGGTTTTGCTCTTGGGCTTCACCCCAAAAGGCCTTATATCAATTGGAGGTGACACACTTACATATAAGCACTTCACCTTTCCTCTACCCAGGCGATGTGGGACTGTGCACCTGTAGCTCGCCAATGTGGTAGCCTGACAGTGTCTCTCGTACCCGCCCACAAGGTCATCACAAAGACCAAGATGAATTCAAAATGAATGTGGCAATTGTGATTGTGTCATTGTAACCTGCATCAGTGAGAGTATTTAGTGGATGTCTTGTGCTGAAAGGGCCACCAGAGATCCAGTTGTCCCACCAGAAAGATGTATCAATGCCATTACCAATCCTATGTTGGATGAGAAGTCTTGTAGGATGCCTGAGCTGTAATATCTTTCTCCAACTCCATAAGCAAGGCTAAGGGATCTTGAGTGTCCAGAAGTTCCTTGATTTTATGAGGTGAGTGTTGCATCAATTGATCCAAAGCCTGTCATTTCCATTTGTTTGGAGATCCCAAATGAACTTTAGGATATTAGCTTTATTAGTGAGCTCCAAATTTAGGATACCAAGACCACCATCCTTCTTAAGTTAACAAACCCTTCCCCAAATAACTTTTGCTCCACTTGACTTCATTTCAAGTCCTGACCAAATAAAGGATCTGAATATCTGGTTGAGCTCATTGATGACTGATTTTGGGAGGATGAACAAGCTTGACTAGTGTAATACCCCTAATTTTAAAATGATAGTCTCGGCATTTATTTATTATTTTTATTGTATTTTTGCGTGATTATTTGGTTTAATTATTTTTATTTATTATTTTTATTTAATTGTTTACCTATGTGACATGTATTTAATTGGCATTTATTGTTTAAGTGTTTTAATTGTTTAATTGGCATTTATTGTTTAATTATGAATTTTATTTTCATTAATTGTTTCTTGTTTTCTTTAATTGGGTTGTGTATTTAGTTATATATGTATTTTCTGTAATTGGATTAGTTTGATCATTCTAATGTGTAATTGGTTTATTTAAAGGTTTTAATTAGATTAAATTATAGATTAAATTAGTATCAGTTACTGTATTAAAATAAATTAATAACTGGTCTAATTTTAAACAGTAGGGTTCCCTAAGAGGTTACGCGTATGTAGCCGAGTATCTTATAACCTAGATTGTTATATGGGCCGACTGACTAGAGTCTTACATTAGGGCTCTGGCTTTAATTAAACAAGGATTAGGGTATAGGATTTTTACGCCTATATATATATAGTTATAATCTGTATTAAGGGTTGGAAAAAAAACATACTCACGTAACATAGATACAGAGAGTTACAGAGTGAGGCTTTGAGAGAGCAGATCAAGTTTGTGAGGTTTCCAACCGAGGCTTCAGGATTTGGCTTAGGAAAAGGGAAGAACAGAAGTAATAGGAGGCTAGACAGTGTTGCAGTGGTTGCCAGAAGTTAGGACGACGGCGACAAGTTTTGAGTCTAAAACTACAGGCAAGTTCTTCTCTTCCTCCTTCCATCTGGCTTGTG